GTGATGAGCATGCATTCGAATGAATCGAGGGAGCAACCAAACACAAAACTACCTCTGTGACCAAGCCGCGACGCGAGCGTTCCAATAAGGTCTTAAGTCCAGGTCTCTTCCAATTGATGTCGCTTGCAACGTCTGTGAGGACGAGATGTGAAGGATAGTTATTGGAGATCGCGTTTCTGTCGTTCAAGGTCGTTCCGTTGCTTGGGACTCGAAACTCGCGCGTAAATGGATGCCACTGTAGGTTTATACGCCCTTGAGAGTGCCAGCGACGTAGAGTTCTGGATGAGACTCCAAGCTGTTTCGATGCTTGATGAGCAGAAAGAAGAACCATTTAGTAAGAATTTTTATTCTTCGCAGCACACCTTCATTTCAAACCTCAAAAAATCGCGTTTATAAACAAAAAATCATTCTTATTAATAAGGTATAAATCGCGTTTATTTAAATTTTTCAATAGCCATTGATAGCCAATAAGATCATTAGTCATTATTAGCCACAGTTGTAATTCTGTGATTGTGTTTCGAAACACAAAGTTACGCGTCAGTTTTAAACAGCTTCACAGTTTCAATACATCAAATTTAGCGTTGAAACTCTTTACTTGTTACTTCAGACGAGGCTGTTTACGCCGGTAATGGGACATTAGGAGACGTTAGAACTGTTATAGAAAGAAGCACTTTGATACGATACAAAGCATTTATTGATCATAATGGAAGGGTAGGAAGAATACGTGTGGTGTTTCAGGAATTGAATAGCTAAATTCTACGTTCTCGTAACGAGAAATTTTCACATACAGTACAGTAATTGGCAGCCGATAAAAAATAAATTTATTTCATAAATTTATATCATATCGTTAATGATCTCTCCAAGTTTCAATAAAACTATCAATCTGCTCTGCACCCTCCAGTACATATCCCGCACTCTTTCCATCAGTTCATTAACAGTAAGTCTTCGGCTATCAGTTCTTCTCTGTTCCTCCGTTTGTGACCCAAGTATGGTGATTTGCTCACGCCGTTCGTAAATTTCAAATCCACTTTCTTCGAACATATGTATTCTGAAATGTTTGATTCTATCAATATCTCGTATGGGGTGTGTATGATCTTTATACCGCTCGATTTGAACAACTTCCGAAGACATGAACCATATAATTTTAATTTTGCATTGCAAAGATCTGATGGTCGGTCGAGCTGAGGTTTGCCTACACCTGTCAATTGAAATTCCTTCTTGTCGTGTGCTCGATTCTCGATGCGGCAGACGTAAATTTTCCAGTTGCCAAATTATAAAAATTATATTGCGTCCATATGTTTGTTACTAACGGCCACCAACTCTTTTCAAATTCTTCAATAGGAAGTTCAATTGGTGTTCATTCACATTAAACAGTGCATACTAATACGCTTTTCAGTAGGAGTGATATTATCATTGGTATCCATTGAAACGAAATCAAAGTAAAAGATTTATTATCACATGATAGGCACCCCGGTTTTTGCTTCTATTTGGTTACGCAATTACTATATTACGTATACATTACCCCCACTGTTTAAAATTTTAAACCAACGCTTCACATCCCAGACTCTAATTATGTCGACTATGTATCAACAAATGGACTTGGACCAAAATCCAATTGTAGCTCTCCGAGGGCTGCGAAAGCATGCGTCCGGTGAACTTCAAGATTATTTTGATGCTTTTGAGGATTTGTATGAAAGGAAGTGAGTAACGTACGTATTCTTGTGTTGTCGGGTATTAAAAGATCGTAGCTGATGCTAAGAAGCGAAACTAATCGGTTGATAAATCTACATACGCCATTTAAGATTAGGATTATAAGTTAATGCAGTCTTCGAATGAGTTAATTTCTTACCATGTCAGAAAGTTATTATGTATCCAATTAACTAACTTATGCCATCTCAAATCAGACTTTGGCACCAGCTTACGCTTAAGATCGAAGAATTTTTCTCACTGCCATCATCTGGTCAATTCCAAATTCCTCTTTTTCAGAATTTTATTTCTGATTGGGAAAATAAAATGAATAAACTCAAATTGGTTACACTTGGATTGACTGCGTCAAAGCAATTTAATGGTACTTCATATAATTATGCTTTTGTTTATTCATCATCTCGGTATTAATTAGTCTACGTTTACTTTGGTAGACAATAATGAGGCCTTGGGCTTTTTGACTACGTTAGTAGAGAGAGTTAGTAAACCAGAAACGCAAGACGTTTATGTTCTTGCTGTAATGGAAACGGCGTTTAAAAAGTTGCTACTAGGAGATCTGGAAGGAACAAAAAGGGCAATTGACGAGTCTCAAAAGATTCTTGATACTTTTGATTCTGTCGAAACTGTGATTTATGCGAGTTTTTACCGTGTAAGTGCCGATTTCCACAAGGTACGTTAAGAATGAAAAGCTGTTAGCGTTGATCAATTGCGTAGCGGAATGAACACATGAAAATATTTTAACACCATATTATAGGCAAAGGGAGAATATGCCGGTTATTACAAGAATGCTTTGTTGTATCTTGCTTGCATCCAGCTTGAAGATGTTCCCATTAAAGAAAGAATTGATAGGGCTTATGACCTTGCTCTTTGCGCCTTATTAGGGGACACAATTTACAATTTTGGGGAACTAGTGAGTTGTTCGTAAATAAGCCCACCGCGATTATATTTGTCTCTACTTCAGCTTACGTCATCCTTCTGTTGCATAGTTAATGCACCCAATTCTTGACTCGCTGTCGGGTACAGAACACGAATGGTTACGAGCATTGTTATTGGCGTTTAATGCTGGAGACTATGGCAGATTTGAAGCATTGCAACCATATTTTGCAAAACAGGTGTAGTGTAAATTTAATGGCAATTATGACGTTCGTAATTTCTCTCTTATGTCAGAACTTGGCTCACAAGTTTATTGTTCCGCAGTCGTTATTTACAGAGAACTTTGGACATTTACTCGAAAAGATTCGATTAATGTCACTCATCGAAGCCGTCTTTAGGAGAAGTGCAGATAACAGGACCATTCCATTTACTAGTATTGCGGCCGAGACTAGAATGCGTATCGATGAGGTGATGCCTAAGGAGATTTAAGATTTTTTACCTCATCTCACCATTACCATGTTTTAATACGTTTTCCCAATACAGGTTGAAGTTTTAATCATGAAAGCTCTCTGTCTCAAGCTCATCCGAGGGACAATTGATCAAGTTGACGAATTAGTCGTGGTCACATGGGTACAGCCACGTGTTCTAGATACAAATCAAATTGACGGTATGAGACGACGTCTAGAAGATTGGGACGAGAACGTCAAGCGTACTGCTCGGCTTGTTGAGAATGAAACACCAGAATTGTTTGTTCAGTAAAAATTTTATATTCAGTTGTCCAATAATTTGTCGAAGAAACAGTGAGCTATAGTAAGCATTAAGTGGATAAACTCCACGAGCCATTAGTTTGAGATTAAATGTGTACGCAACCTCGTCTTCAGAAAGAGAAATTAGCGCTTTAAAGCCATATGTTATCAGTTTGCGGACTTTGAAGTATTACAATATGTCCTTGTAACAGGATTCACTAATCTCTTGCGCGTCCGTTTAAACATCTATTGCTCGTTTCAGGAAATGTCTAGAAGATAATTGGCTACTACCGAATATCTGACGCATCTTTACTACATAATAGGGCCGAAGCTTAACTTTGGATTGATAACAATTTCGGGTTAACGGAATTTGCAATTCTAATTATTGGGGGTTTCAAGCTATGTATGCGTGCTTGATGTGGTTTTCTGTTGTGTCAGCGTAATTTTTTTGACTGTCAATATGTACCTGCCGCTTGCTTTGAATCTCGAGTACTTTCGCAAAGTGATTCTCTAGTGATTTTGATATTACATGTTTCGGTAACTAATTCCGGATTGAGGTTAACTGTAAACTTCGAACAAACGAGGCAAATCTGTTGTTAATAAACAGATTAACGAATTTTACCTTGAATATTAATAAAAAACTGCCGCAATGGGCAAACGAAAAATCACTTCATGTCCAGATCTCGAAAATGTTTGAGACCGATTTGAGGAATTCTCAATCAAATCACAAGAGAGTTTAGGAAAAAGCATGAGAGCGGCAAATTATTCAGTGGCGAAGATGTTCTGTTCCAACTATAAGTTATAACACAGTGTTCCTCAAATTTGAGTGGGTCTCGGAATCTAGGGTGTAATGTCTATAAAGACTGTGTATATTAATAATATGTATAGTTCCTAATACATAACTAAGAAGAGGCCTACATTACATAGTAACAAAATCACGGCACGGTTAAGTTTATATTTCTTTATACTGGTTTAATAATCGTTTATGCATAGCGGTCAAATTTACAACGGAGCCTACAGCATTCAAAGCTAGAACTAGATTACATCAGAAAAGCAAGAAACAGTTACACACGGGAACAGTCCATGGCCTTTCCTGATGTTGTTTGATTGCTCAAGGCTCTTTTCCATTGTCTAGTTCACTTCAGAAGAAAAATATTGGACAAAATAAATTATGCAATTTATACTTTCCTAACCAAATACAAGAAAAATTTTGACATACAAACATGAAATTACAAATCACCAAATCCCCCATATAAACATTAACCCAACTAAACCGTAGTTCAATAAATTAGCTCTATTTTGATTATGCGTCACGCGTATTTACTTCTTACTTTCCTCTTCCTTTTCCATCAAAGCCTTCTTTTCCTCATCAGCAATGTAGATGACTTGGTCAAATATGATCTCATCAGCCAACGATTCATATGACCGGTGGCACATTTTACCCTTACTGAAGACAATAGTGTATGCTACGATGATAGTGAGAAGACTAAGTATAAAGGTGAGGCAGAATGAACCGATTAAAATACGTGTAAGCCGAGAAGTCCTACGCCACCAGCGCTCAATCTTGGAAAAAACATGCGATCCACATAAACTTTGTTTGACAGATAAAGAGTCGGAAGGAATAGCTTCAAATCCTTCATCATCATCCTCGAAGACTGCATAGGTCTTAACTTCGAAGATTTTCTCAGTGGATTCGGTTTGTATGACTTCTTGTCCATCGATTTCTATAACTCTGGTAGAGATATTAATTCTTCTAAGTACAACGTTCGGATCCTCTGTCGGAATAGCCTCTGCTTTAGATTCAACTTCAACAGTCACTAATCCAATGTCAAACTGTTTATCGAGATCGACTTTCTCCTGAGAAGTAATGGCAACCTCAGCCTGGATAACTTCTATTGACTGTGCGCCAAGTGTAATCGGTACTCCGTTGAGAAGAAGCTCATTGTCATGAAGATCGAATGACATTATTACAGACATAAGACGTTCTGCAACAAGTGAACCATCATCATCAAGTAGGTCGTCTATACGGGAGACCGTGACGGCAAAACGCTCTGATGAAGGAGTTGTGTTGGACTCTGCAACAGTTATTGAGGTTGAAGAGACATCTTTCAGAGGTATAGCTGTTGATAAAACTAAAGTGCATATGTAACATAGGAGCGTTAGTTCCATTACAATAATAGCATACAATCTTAATACAAAGTCAATCTAATGCTAGTTCAACAATCCACATTTTGAGAAGTATTCCCGGTCACTAATTACCATATACATTACCTATTAAGCAAGCAATAAAAAGGGCGAAGAGTGAAAGCTTCATTGTGGTCATTATACGTATATATGTGTTGTGTCAGTTGTAGGAGTGTTCTCTTCTATGTTGAAAAAGAAAGTGTGCAGTTTACGATGTGCTATGGATGTCTTTTCTTGATAACTTCACAGAAGTTAGTCGAAAATGACAGAATTGTCTTCCTAATTGGAATGAGTGTGAAATTTTATGGAGTGAGGGTGAGAAAGAAAGAAAGAACGAAACGAGAGGTGTTAGGAGTGAGGAAGCAAAAGGATGATAAGAGATATAGAATGTGTTTTCGAGTCTATTTAAAAGTTTGTGACTGATTGGTAATTACGGTTAATCATTGGTGTGTTTGTGTACCGTAGGATGAGAGATAAATAGCAATTAAGTAAATGCCAAGGTTGGTAAGTGCATAATGTTCGTGCGCCCAATCAACGTATCGGCCTTTTAGTGCATATAGACGCCAATTAGAGGCGAAAAGATTCCGTTGCAAATTAGAGTTTGTGAATTCTCCCGTTCCCGATTGTAATGAACAATATCGGACGACACTCCTTGTCTATTAAATTCTGTGATTTACCTACAAAATGTTCTTGTACACTTTTTCGGTCAACTTACATTGATGATGTTGACTAAATATGGTGAACATGTATTCAGGGATTCAGGTCAACTCGTAACACGTGGACTCGATTAATATGGTACCGACGTAGTACCAGTATTATTAATTGTCAATATTAGCGACGCTAAAATTGTGGGTTAAAACCCTTTGTCAATAAATAGAAAGGCAGAAAGTCGAGTTCTCTGCTTGTCTTACATTACAAACATACCGTACACATCATGTTTTATCACGTCTACCTTCTTAGTACAACGTCTACTTGTGGAGCAGCTCTCTTGATTTCTCTTGCCAAACTTGTTCCCGACATGTCCATCGTTAGAACAACTTTCTTCAGTTTAGGCGAATTCATCACAATATTGAGAACATCCTCTTCCCTCGCAAACGGGCTGTTCTTCAATTCAAGGATCATTAGTTCGCCCCAATGGTAGTCGAATTCTAAGCTTAGCTTCTCAACCCACATCAGTGGACATAAGCTACGTATAATTCAATAAACGGTGTTACAACAACAAAGAAACTCTGATACTTTATTCGTACGTCAAATCAACACTAACTTTATCTTCATACTCACCCAATATTAAGACGTTCTAAATATAATATCCGATTAATGTATTTTATACACTTGCGAGATAAATTGGAGCATCCACACACATTTAAAACACGCAGCTTGCTGCACCTCCTGGGCAGTCTCTTAATCAATTTATCGGTTACAGTATAACAGTTATAGAGACCCAATTCAATCAAGTTGGGAAGGCTTTCCAATAAGGAATCAAGCATATAGTCAGTAAGCTTGTTCTTGGACTGCAGATTAGACAAATCCATCACTCTTACACACGCGCCGTACGGAAAAGTTGAGTGGAATGATATAGAATTATCAAAAGTCCATTGACTATCATTTTCTTCGCTCTCCGTCTCATTCGCTCTAGTAGCATCTACGTTGACCTTGCAGTTTCCATTAACAAATTGCATCACTATCCTCCTCCAGTTGTTCCTGGCTCTCTCTCTCTTATTCCATTTGATGCTTTCTAAAACATCTCGAAAATGCATGAATGTAGAGAACGAATAAAATCTTACGGTATGCCATAAGTAAAACTTCATTACAACTGCGTGCCATGTTCTATTCACTTGTGCGCAGGAAATTAAATCAGAGTACAAATCAGAAAAATGTGAAAATATCATAAAAAGGATTTCTGCAGGTAGCGGTGTGAAAGAAATAGTCCCTCATTGAATTCTGGGTCACTTGAATACTCATTTAATCACGTGTAATGACTTCGAATAAGGCATGCCCATTATGTATTAATATGTGGTCCGCGAATGATGCGAGAAAGAGGTACTTATTTATAAAATGTACAGTATATCTTATATTAATAGACAATGTTTGTTTCAGACATTGCTTGCAACTTCAACATCTTACGAGAACTCGGTGTTTGTGAATCAAATGAGAGATTATAACATTTTAGGCGTCTGAAGGTATTAAAACAAATAACGTTGAACAGTGTGGCCTTTGATGGAACGACCTCAAGAACCATACTGTGAAACCGTATATACCGGCTTTTACCATAATGACCGAACGGTTCTTTAATTATTACTATTACTATTGTATTGGAGTATTAATTGTTCTATACTGTTCTATACCGGTTTCCCTTATCATTATGCCGGCCAAAATTCCGTGGTCGGGCTGACCGGTTGATTTTCTTATCAATAAATGAGAATCTCTTTTTTTTCAGAACCACCTTGCTAAACATCCTACATCAAAAGCTCGTTTAATTAATATTTGTAGCGCAAGAAAAATCAATACACAAGAGCTGGGTTGTTGATACTTTACAAATAAATTCTCTTAGAAGAATTAATTTATTAGTAATGATTATTTAACGAATAATTGATAGTTCTATTTGTTGTCAGACGTCGGTAAAGTTGAGTAAACATCACCTCATTAATTTTGCGCTTAATATTAATATTAGAGACTTGTAAGTGCAGCCTGCCTTCTATCGCATGAATAAGCAATAAAATATTCGCTGCGGGCTTTTATCGTGTTACATATACTCAAAATCATATGATTCACGTAGAATTTTACAGTATATGCTACGACCGATACGCGATCGCAGATATGGGCTTCATTTGCTGTTATGTCAAACGTAGACAGTGTATGGTATTTAATATAGTGATAGGCGCAAGACGCTACTCCAAGTTTGCTAAGCGGTTAATGAGTCCAGTATAGAAATCAATTCCTTCTAGATAAATCTTTTCATTTAAATATTCATTATGATCGTGAAGTAGTACCGGTGTATTTTTAAGATATGAAACGCCAAGTGCTGGTATGCCTTTTGCACGAATGAACCGAGAATCTGTTGCCGCCGGAAATATTTCTGGTTCGATTTCTTCGTCTCTAATTTAATTAAAATTTTATATTAGAATAAGAGAAAGATAACTGATTTTTGGCATCAAATCGTTGCGTGACTTACCGTTCCTTACAATAATCTTGGAATGCCACCCACCACAAGTTGCTGTTGTCGATCTTCGTCGTACCGTTATAGTCAAAATATTGGGCATACTCTATGCGCGTACTGAAAATTACATACAATTACGTTACTACGGCAACATAAAGATAAAATTACAATTCTACCCAGAACTCACTCTGATTCGCAAAGTATGAATCCTTCCATCATTTGTTTAAACCTGTGCAAATCTACACCTGGTGATATGCGAATGTCAAATCCAGCAATGACTTCTTCAGGTATAACATTATGCTGTACTCCGCCCTGGAAGGCAAAGAGCGCGAATCTAAATGGCAGATAACAGGCATGATCGCTAATTATGATCCTCAGTTAAATCGTGTACCTACCTGGAGCTTCGTGAGATTTACACTAGTAACATCGCCAAGAGCGTATCGTTTGCCATTGTGGTGAACACCAATTTCCAATTGTTTCTCCTGAGCTGCTCGGAAATCCATGAACCTGTTGATAATACGATGCTGGGAGTTTTAACAACAAATTTGCTATCAGCTATTCATATCAATTATCACAGCCGATATTAACATTTTCATGAACGCGCACACATCGAAAAAGCCGTCCACTCACCAGTTTCGACATCGCAGTATCCTTAATAAACATTGATGCATGACCAACATTACCTCGGGCGATTACATTAACCCACCACGCAGTTCGCTCACCGTAAAAGACCTTTAAACCGTTCTTAGGATTGGCAATGCCTTCATCGAGAGCAAAACCAACATTCAACTTGGTAAAATCTTCCGAATTAACCAAATGTTCCATGCCAGCAGCTCCACCAATTTCTTCATCTACATCCGATATTGAAGAAAATTTAAATATTGCAAGTATCAGACAAATAAAACAGATAATAAATAAATTACCGGGGACATAAGAAAGGTGAATAGTCCGTAAGGGTTGCTTTCCTTGCGCTTTCAAATTTCTTATGGCTTCGAGGTAACTGGCACCAACGCATTTCATATCCTGAGCACCTCTAGCAACAATGTCGCCATTCTCTAATTTTGCTGCACCAAAAGGGTCGCTATTCCATTGATCCTGTATTAACAGCATAAGCATGTAAAAACCTAATATCATATTATGTACCTTTCACAAGAAAGTCTCACCTCGAATACGGGGACGACATCCGTATGAGAATTCAATAACAGGGTACTTAAACTCGGATCTCGTCCTTCCCAAGTCATAAGGACTATTGGCCTTTCCGGGACGTCCTGAAATCGAATAATCTTGGCCGATATCCCAATCTCTTCAGCTTGTCTTAACAGAAATTTACTACATGTCTCGTAGTCTGGATTCGGTTGGACCGTCTTGATCCTCAAATAGTCTCTAAATCGAGCCACGGCTGGGTGTTCGTTGGTACACATTGGAATTAAAAGACTGCTACCATCCGCAGTACATCATGGTACACAGATCTTATTATTATTTGAACCTTCAGATCATCTATCAAATGTTTCTCCTGGTGAGTGAAAATTACGCAAAATGTCGGGAACGGGCCCAAGGCTCAATATCTTTCCTACACGCATGTATGTTTGTATGTTTCGACGTGAGTGAGGTTACTTTATCGTGGGTGCTCATGGCCAGGACTTTTTATTTTTGATCCGTTTAGGGCATTAACGACTATGAAAACGAAATTGAAGGGAGCGCAGACAGGTCATAGTTTGTTAAAGCGAAAAAGTGAAGCGCTTACAAAGAGGTTTCGAGCCATAGTTCAGAAAATTAATGACGTTAGTCAAATATCATAAATACAGTTTGTTGAGAAAATTTATTAACTCGACGACATTTGCATAACCGAATCTCGATGCTGTTACCTTTCATTTTTGAAGGCCAAGTTAAAAATGGCAAAGGTCATGCAAGCTGCTTCGTTTTCTCTCACAGAAGTGACTTACATTACTGGAGACATTAGGTAGATTCAATGTATGATACTCGTGAGTAACCTGATTGTGATATATAAAAAGGAAGGCTAAATGTAGATTTTATGATCACAAAAGTTATCAGGTCCAGGAAAGTGCAAAAACTGCTCAATTCCGAGTACGAAGTAAACAGGAAAATGTATCCGGTGTTATGTTACCTGCCTTCGAGTGTTATTCTGAAGGAAGTAATGGTATGTATATATCTATTGTTTGTTGCCTGTTGCCTGGCGCGTCTCGTATTATGAATGCTATCGTTCTTTCATTGTAGCATTTGAGTTGACTGGTCTTGGTCGTGGTGGTCAGCAAGTTCAAAAATGCAAAGAAACGTATATTAAAGCAGTGGAGATGTTAGTAGAGTTGGCTTCCTTACAGGTACTTTCATAATGCGCTTGCCGGTGTTCCATGACCGATGAATTGGTTCTAATTATCTTTTGCCACTCGTAGACAGCGTTTGTAATATTAGACGAAGTCATTAAAGTAACAAACCGTCGCGTGAACGCTATCGAGTACGTGATTATACCAAAGATAGAGAATACAATCAAGTATATTATGTCAGAATTAGATGAGCAGGATCGTGAAGAATTCTTCCGATTAAAGAAGGTCCAGGGTAAAAAAAAGAAAGATGCAGCTTCCGCCGAAGAAGCAAAGAAACTTTTAATGGAACAAGCAGTTGAAGGTAAGTCATTCAAGATAACGGTTTCCTCGGATGTAATTAGCATATTAAAACCTCTTTGCTTTTATTAGTGGGTCAGCATCCAGAGGAATATGAGAATCAAGTAGCAGATGTGTTTAAAGAAACAGAGGATGAGGACGTTATATTCTAGCTGCAATTTGTACTTTTCACGGAACCATTGTCGCTAATCGCAATCATGAAAGACACGCTCGTAATTGTTGTGTCTATATTTAAACTAATGTGTGGGGTATCGAATATTTCATGTAAATTACCAAAATAAGTGACATTACTTAGATCTAGCGGATGGATTGTAACACAACAACAGTAGACATTACTACTATAATCTCAAGCAGCCATTTTCATCTCGATCCATTACAGTTCCACAATTTAAGCACTACATCTCGGACTCTCCTATTTTTTGAAGTATGGCCTCATTTTGGATATAACATGGTACTAATTCTTCTGCTTTAGCCATCAGATGTTGGCGAAATTGATAGCGCTGAAAAGAAAAAATACCAATCGCCGTTATAAAGTGCAGCTGTCTTAGTGGGCCTAACAGAGAACGGCTTTTCGTGTTGACTTTTTTTTTTTGATTTATCACATTTGATACCCCAGAGAGAAATGATAACGACATCAAATTTGCGAGTAAAAATGTGACACTCTTTTTATGAACTTCACTTTGCAGGTGTTTGATTTTTCGTCCCATTCGAAAGGTTGTCTTATCAAACTGCAAGGCTTTTTTCTTCTTACGTTTTGAACTAGAGGCAACCAGCATGCCCATTATAGAAAGTAAATTATTCATATGTTTGCATAGACGAATAATTCGTCCCGTCCAATTGGCCGATTTCACCTAACACCTTTAGTAGGAGAGTACCATGGTCAATAGGAACTACATTAACAGAACCACCCGCTTAGTTTCGCGGAAGTCCATTCATCAGTTTTGCGTATATATGTTGACCTGATATTCTGTGAACAGGCCATAAATCGCGTTTGTCATCGTGATATCAGGCTTATGACGGTATGCGGAAAGCATTGATGGATTATGAAAACCGTTCCACGTGGATTTTGAAAAGTTCTTCGCACTAATTACCGTTTGTGTCGTAAAGCTTTCGAGATCGAAATGGTGAAGACGAGCTGCGCTAGTACGCCAATTATCCTGTCCCTAAAATTAGCGTCAGTTAAAAGTAAATAAAATAATAGGGGGAAACAATCATACCTAACAGTTAATGTTTCATCAATCGCCCCATCGATAGCGCTTGTCAGGCGCTTTGCCATGTGCACGCAACATTCCAATACACACTACAGTTCGCATGAATTTGCGTTTTCACCCCATATGCATGATCTCTGAGGTCTCTTGTCCTCACATTCACTAACATCTTTTCCGATACGAACATGTTTAAAGTCTAAGCTTGTCTTCAAGAGTTGAGATTTATCCAACCCGTCGTGATGGACCGACATGTGAATTTTTGGTATAGAGGTGACGGCGTCGACTCCACACATCTTGACAAGCTCATCCGCCGTTCCGATAGCCGCTTTTGAAGATAATTTGGGTAGGCTTTGTTGTCCTGATCTTGCGTTTTCCCCTAATGTGGGGTCCTTGTCGGGTATCGTTTACAACACAAATAGTCAAGTCAAGCGTTGAAGAACAGATTTCCACATGGCGTAAACTAAGACAGTGCAGCAGTTCCAGGCGAGATGATTCTAGCGAAAACAAACCCGAAGGTAAAAAAAAATTGTTATCTAATAAAATATGGTTATTTATTTATCCGAGGAGACGAGGCTACTACTCACAAGTGCGCGGTAGAATACTAAAGAGTAGTCTGTCAGTACAATGTATTTTTTCTTTTTGTTTCATGAATTGCATTGTATTGATGATATCTGGAATATGATTCATTTAGTTAAATTCATAGTAATAGGCGAATTAAATCATTGACTGTCACGAACTGACTAAAATATACGTAATTTTGTTAATGAATATAAGTGAAAGTAAATTTATTTAATACCCGGCATTTCAAGCGCAATATTTTTTCTGGCACTCTTTCCTGGCATTGATATATTACTTTAATACGTCAAACAACATTATGAAAAACAGTCCGTTGTTGCTAACATTGCTTCGCCAAAGGAAGAGCCTTTGTCGTTTGGAAGTCAGCGTTCAATACAACATCAATATTAAGCGTAAAAGCATTTAAGTGTGTGGTATGGTGGGGGACACATATACGCATCAAATTGTTTCAATTTTCAAGGGGAAATCATTACTGAAAATTTCAATGATCAACAATAGTAATTTATTAATTTTTATTCAAAAATCGGTTCAGGGCCTACCCATTATTACAATTTAATATTAAAGACGAAATTTTTCGTTCTAAGAGTATCTTTGTCCAATGGTAATGTAACACAAGATTTCCTTTTTTGTTAAGGCCTTAAGAAATGTACCAAATTTAAGATAAATTTTAC